TGACTCCGGCTGCGAATATCCTCGTGCTTCACCGCCGGCCCGCGCGGACTCGTCCACCGCGATGCCTCCCTCTTCGGCTCCTTTGTTACCTTCCGACAAGCCCGAATCCCGGAGCCCCTGGGCCATTGTTGCTGTTGGTGCTGCTGCGGTGTCGAGCACTGGAAGAGTGATGCCGGGAGGCATTTCGACCTCTGCTCGCCGGGATAGGTCCGACAGGCGCCGGAGCAAGGCCGGGCTGAACGCGGCTTTCCATGCCGGCGCGGGCGGCTGTTTCAGGTTGAGCTTTCCGAAGGTAGCGTTCCACACGTCCAGGAGAGATGACTGCAAGCTATCTGCGTCACAGCTGCTCCGCGGGGGTTGTGGTGTCAAACAGAGAGTAGAAACGGGGGCGAGATTCGAGAGAGAAACCCCCAACAATATTTTGGGCTCTCTGCCACCGCACAGCAGCACAAGGATGAAACCAGCTTGAGATGTTTGTGAAGGCATGCAGACATACGATTTCCGTGCTGGTACAAGACCACACACTTCGCCATTTAATGAGCACGCTTGGCGTATCCGCTTGCGCTCATGACAAGGGGGCTCCGAGAGTATAGATGCGCCGCTCTTAGAAAACGCCACCAGTACAATCAAGAAAAACCGTGAAAAGCTTGACCTGTTGACCGCACTCGAAGCACGCCAAAATCGAACACCTATTCCGAGATTACGCACAGGGCAGCAGAGGTACACAACATATTGAGAGCGCGCGTGGCTAAGGAGACCCACACCTTGAGCTAGGCACGTCCAGCACAGCCTCTAGCAAAGGGCTCAAGGCGGTCAGCAGTCCCGGCGACGCCGCCACCTTCCTGCTGGCCGACAGCGCACACGCCACCAGGCCTCGAATCTCGAGGCGCACCGCAGGGTCCGCAGCCACGACCACCTCGGTCCCCGAGGCGGTGGAAGAGGAAAAAGAAGCTCGGACCAGACTTCCGGAAGAAGACTCCGGGCCTGCATCAGCAGCAGTAGCAGCAGCAGCAGCAGCCGCAGCGGTGGAATACGAGGTTCTGACCGCGACAGCCAAGAGCCGGCACACCGGCGCGAGCGAATCCCCGTCTAGAGGGAAGCCGGCCGTTCCCGACGACGATGATCGGTTTAGCCCCCCTCCCGCGGAATCAGCCGCCGCCGCCGCGGCCGCCACCTTCAAGCAAGAGTGCACAGCGCAGAGGCATTGACAAACCTCAGCGGGGACGGTTGCCCCTTCCTCTCCTGCTGCTAACCCTGCCGCCGATGACCACTGGGTTGTTGACGGCGATGCCGGCGGTGGCCAGGCAGTTGTGCCGGGAGCGGCGGCTGCTGCTGTGAGCGTCCAGGCGAGTGTAGCGGACCCGGCCTTCCACGCCCGGCCCCTCGCCTTCGCGTCGGCTTCTGCGGGAGCGGCAGTCAAGAGCGCCAGCGCCGCCGCGGCCAGCACGGGGAGGGCAACGAAAGGCGGCGGGGGGGCAAGCGCGTCACCGCCGCCGTTCTGCTTCTTGCCTTCTGGGTGGTCGGTGTTGCTACGCTTGTCGTAGCGCATTGCCGCGGCGCCGGCTGTCTTGTCTCCTTGCATCGAGGAAGCAAAGTCACCCGATTCCCGCTGACCCGTTCGCGGCTGCTGCTGCTGCTGCTGCTGCTGCGACGGAGGCTGTGTCTGGCTGAAATCGAGCCCCCAAGCCCCCGGAGGCGGCACCGCGGAAGAACCCCCCTCCCCCGCTCCCCCCTTGCCTCCACCCAACGGGCCCCACGACGCGACGAAAGCACAGTTTCCGCAGTCTTTTGAGAGTGCCTTGACCAGTTTCGAGAATCCCTTCGGCTGGGCGGGCGAGTTTCTCCTCGCCTCGAATAGCCCAAGCCAGAGCCTCGCCGCCTCCGCGCCAAAAAACGACTCCACGGCCACCGATCTCTTGCCGCCTTCCGACCAGCCACCTGAAGCCCCCCCTCGGAGATTTCCGTCGTGGTCGGCTATCGCCGCCCCCTCGTTCTGGACGCCGGTGCTACCCGCGGCCCTGCTTTCCAGATCGCACGCCTGTCCTGTCGCGCCTTTCGGCTCCTTCGATTGGCTCCGCGTGTTCCCCTCCGGCGGGTGGGAAAACAAGGAGCACGCCGCGTGGAGCGAGAACCTCAACGTGTTGGCGGTGTCGGTTCGCAGGTTCTTGCTCGGCTGCCGCTGCTGCTGCTGCTGCTGCTGCTGCTGCTGCTGCTTCTGCACGTCCACGCCTGCTGCCGATGTGCCGACGGTTCTTGCGTGTGGAGCGACCGGGCCGCCTTTGTAACGGTCTCCCCCCGGCGTCACGCCCTGCACGCCACCATCGAAACCCGCGCCCGCCGCACCAACATACGAGTCTGTAGACAACGGCAGGCAACGATTCCACTCCGCTAGGTTTCGAGCAGCCTCGGCACGCCACACGCGGCCTGCCACCACCAACGCTAAATCCTCTTCCTCCTGCGTTCTCCCCTTCGCCGAGCGCGCGCCTGTCAACAGCGACGCGAGAAGCTGTGCCGGCCAGCCGCCCGGCGACAACGAGAGCGCTCCGGCCAAGAACGATTGCGGTAGAAATACGGGCGAGAATTGGCAAGCGCTTTCGCCGCCACCGCGGGTGCCGTCGGTAGCACTGCCTGATTCATGTCGGGGGTTTCCCTTGTGGCAAGCCTCTCGCACAACACGCGACCCGCCGCCGCTTCCACCACCGCCGCCGCCGTCTAGGCACCGGTATTCCAACCCGCACCTCCCCCGCAGCACCCCGGTAAGGAGCACCAACCACAGGGGCGTCTCACTCTTGAGCCACTTCCTAGAGATGGACTGACGGATGACGCCCCCCGCCGGCAAACACTCGGCGCAAGCCGGACAATCACCGGCACACAACCTGCCATCAAAGACAGAGGACGAGTCCACGGGCGCGTCCAGCCAAGCCCGTCCGGGCAGCTTCGCGTTGGCATCATCTGCTCCTGCTTCCGCCTCATTGTCCTGAACGTCCAGCCGTCTCGACAGTCCCCGGATCAGAGCGGCAAGGAGTGCCTCCTTCCACCTGGCCAAGCGGTCGGTAGTCGGAGATGAAGCGGAGTTCGCAGCAGCCTTTCCCCTCCCCTCCGCTGTGCTGCCGCCCGGGACGGCCTTTTCGGTGACCGTCGTGACCTTGGCACTAGTCCCTGTCGAAGGCCTTGCTCTAACCCCAAGCAACCACTCCAAGAGCACCTGCAAGGGCTGGCTGGTCTCCGAAGCCTCGTTTTCTTGGGGAGGAGCCGCCGACGAGCTGCTGGGGCCGCTGCCCTCCTTCCGGCAGTCACTAGCGGCGGCGGCGGTATTTCCGTGTCCCTTCCCGCTACCATCTTGGTTGTCTGAAGCAAACTCGCCAGCATCAGCAGCACCAGACTTTCCTTTCCCGGTCCCTTCCACATCCAAGCCAGCAGCAGCAGCCTGTTCCATCGCCCAGAAGGCCAAGCCGCACCACGCGTTAGCGATCAGGCCGGTCGTTGGCAAGACCTCCAGCCGAACGTCGGCACAGCAGTTTTCCTCTTCCGCCCCCCTACTCGAGGAGGATGGCGGCAGCAGCAGCGGTGCCGCGGCGTCTACCGCGGAAGCCGCGTCCTCCGGGATCGGGGAGGGAAACGCCTCCATGAGGGTTTCCAGCATGGAGAGGAGCAGGGGAAGTTCTTCGTCAAGGTTGAGACCGGCATCTCTAAGCAAGGGGTGCGGTTCTGTTCCGGTAGCCCGATGGCGACGGCAACATTAGTGCAACAACAGCAGTAGGGAGGGGAGGTCATGAGGACACGGTCAAATGGTAGACACACCCGTCGCGCCGGTGCATTGACAGGTCTTGTGTCCGCGGCTCTCTGCCATGTAATTTCATTTTTGAGGAAACGTTGTGGATCGACACAACCGTCGGGATGGCGAGAGAAGCATGGCACAGCGAAACGCGCTTGAAACTGTTCTGTATTTCTAGAATTGGGAACAGCGCGCCTCGGTAAGGGATATGCCCGCCTTTACAGTACCTGATAAATAGTACCGGGGCGTGCCTTTTCGATGGCAAGAGACTGACACGTTTCCTGAGTTTCTTGTCCAGAATACAACCAACGGTCAGTGCGGAATCAAGAAGCGCTGGGCATCAACGAATAGAGCGAAACATCTGATTGTAGACGGCAGCGATGTCGACGACGACGATAGCAAGAACACATCAAGATCAAGAGGACAAAAAGAAGAAGAGCCAACAAAGAACGCCCCAAACCGAAAGCGGTCGGCGTTTGGTACACAATCGTCTGCCAGGCGCTCACCCGCTGGCCGTAAGCAAAAGCAAGGCAAAAGAGCCGCCAGAACTCGAGCGGAGTGGTGCCGAGCAATCTCGCCGCTGCTCCCCCCTGCACACCACGACGCCACAAGAGATACACACGAAAAAGACACTGGTGACCACAGACGAAAAGGCGGAGATTTCCGCAAGATTTTATGACTGCACCGGTTCACCTGGCCATGGTTTCCATCGGGATTCAGCAACAACGCGACCGTCTCGCGGTTTTATCGCACGAAGGAGGGCGTTCAAGCACGCAACCAGGCAAATTATTGGACGCGTCTGCGCTGACCTGTCCACACAATACCATGGTCGACACGTCGTCGACAAGCGGATGCATGCGCCGCCGAACAGTTTCAATCACGTAACTTATCGCATTCTTTCAGTTCAACCTTCTCCTCGTGGTGGCGATGGAACACTTTTCGAGAGGTGCCCCATCCATCAAGATTCAAGCATGCGATAACCTCTTGCTTCCCCAACAACGTCACCCCCCCCCCTCTGGCCGTCTCTCGAATGGGCACAAAAAAAATAAGATACTTGAGGGGTGTGGATTGTTCCGATGGCAAGCTCATGCGGTGCCAGCGACAGCGGAGGACGCGTGCTCACCCGCAACATCCCGCAACACCTCGCCCAAGCCCTTGCTCTTCTTGTCTCCTTTCCAAGTGGTGGTCCACAGGGGCTTCAGCGAGATCGATGGAAATGAAGCTACCACTCTCATGAGCGAAGACATGGCCACTTCCCTGACAACACCCCTGTCATGGTCATTGCGTTCCATCGTAGGTGCTGCTGCCGTCATGCCCTTGCCCAAAGATCAGACATGACACCTTTGATATAACAGGTTCTATTGCTACTACGTCATCGAAGATGTGGCCATCATTCCATCAAAGAGACTGCCACTGCATCAAAATATACTGCCATCACGTCGTCAAAGTTAAGAATTGTGCGAGGAGCGTTTTATGGGGTGAATCCGGAAACGGCGGGTACACTTCCACCAGCACCAACAACTTACCCCCCCCCTCTGCCCCACAAGCTGCCATCCGCCTCTTTGATTCATGGCACGAGAGGCCGGTCAGTAACACTCACTTTTCTTTGAGGACCCAGCGGGACAAAGCTCTCAGGAACATGTGAGCGACCTTTTTCGCCTGCTCGACGAAAAATGTGCGTTGCACAGTACGCACGTGAAAAACAAGCGGGATGCAGGCGAAAAAAGTGTAGAGACAACGTGCTTTCTCTTCTGCCTTCAATAGCCAACATTATCGAGACGGGCCACGAACGCAAGGCGTCCCCCGGCAAACGGTGTGGGCTGCCTGCACGTGCCTGGAACATGGCTGTTGCGTAAACATAGCGCTACATTTCTGCCGCAAGAGGATCTCCACAAGAATCGGCTGAGAACATTGTGCATGCTCCAACGGGAGATGCGATCGTACGTTGACTTCGTTCTTGCCGTCATGCAGAAGCAAGTGCGCGCCGCAGTTTTCATTACCATCTAAGCATACACATAAAAAGAAAAAACACATCCCCCTAGTAAAGCCACAAAGTCAGTCCCGATGAACTTAATCGAAAAAAATAAATAAGAGGCCTTGCCACGGAGAGAGCTCTCCTCTTTCTTTTAGTGGAGGCTCATCAACTGACATCAGTAACGACGAAACGGTGCCATCGAAATACGCTGGACGTCAAAACAGGCCATAGGATATTCACGATCGAACTGGAACAGCCCTCCCCCCGTGAAAACCAAAAGGCCACAACCGCATCAGATAGAGTGGCTAAAAACAAACCACCGAGCAACAACATGGCGTATTTTTGCCTCCGCCTTGCCCGTGAGATAAGCGGCATCCTTTGCGGCGGTTATTTACCTCATCACGGCCGATCTGGGCCATCATGCTGACAGCGAACATCTCCCACGACTCCACCGCCTGCACCTTCACGTCGTCCCGACCGTCGGCAGACTTCCCGCATAGCCACGTGAACAACCCGGTGCCGACGTCGAGAAGCCTCTTCTTTCCGGCCGTGTCCCTCGCTCTGAGGAGGCTGGCCGGGTCTGCCAACGAAAGATGCACCGCCCAGACTCTGATCTGCAAAGAGCAAAGGCGCGCCGAGTGTTTGAAAAACCAGCAGAGTGCGAGAGAGAAAACAATCCACCCTGCCTACCAGACGACGTTCGGACAAGCAATGACAAAGGGGTGGAAAAAACGGGGTTCGCAACACACCAGTCAATGTTCCCCTCCGAACAAGATTCACAACACAGCTTGGCCGAGCTGCACGGACACACAAACACCGACATGTGGGTTCAGCTTTGCGCGAGCTTTTGGCGAACGGGGGGGTACTACATATGCACGTACCGCGTGCTTGACTCGTTGTGGCGTGGCCTGCCGCGGATTCGTCTTGTCGGATGCTGCTGCAGGCGAGGAGGACCCCGACGCGTGAGGGAGCGGATCTGCTCCCCCGGCCGCCGCTGTTGTCGCGGCTTGTGATTGAGAACTCGCGTCATAGAACAGCACCCTGCATGGAGGAGCAAAGGCACCCACCCGCAGGAGGTGAGAAAAAAACACATCACGGCGGTTACATGTGACAGAAATAGTCGTACGAAAGATGTTTCTCGTTGATACAAAATCGATAATCTTGGTTGTTTCTTCGGGGCCTGAACAAAATAAAAAAAAGGTAGCCGACTCGCGCGGGAGAGCGAGGAAAATCCTGGCGGGCGTGAACCAAAGGCACTTTCACGTCAGTGGCAAGGCGATTGTCGATACGTAATTCAGAGAACAAGCTGTGTGTGACGGCATTACCACGACTTTCCCGTCCCTCTTCGTGGAAAATCTTCACTTCGAAACGGAAGGAATACCCATACCGTACTGCCAGTATCCCACGGTACAGACCTCACGAAATGACACACGTTTTCACTACAGGTAGGAGTGTGCAAAAAAGGACTTCACCAACCCAACGCTCGGACGATACCTACAACCTCGTGTAGCCCCCTCGTCTTTACCCCCCCCCGAGGTCAATGGTCTAACGACTACGGCATGCACGACTATGAGTACACCCC